TACATAGTAGAACCCAATGGGGTTCTATTCTATTCTAATTACTCAGTGGGGTCTCACCCGCGTTATGAAACTCACGAGCAGTGGTGATGCTAGACGAAGTCGAAATTTACAAGAAATTATCGTTGAGAATTTCACGAGCGCAAGCCATCCTAGGCCTACTGTCAGCTCTGTGGACATGACCGTGTGCTTTGCGCGTATTACCGTATTGCCTCAGGAACCCCGGATGACTTCTCACAGGCTTTCTGGCATTTCGTAAATTCCCTAGCATTCGGAGAGACTAGGAATTGAAACTGGGTTTCTCTTTCTCACTCGACAGATTAAAAAACTACTACGTACGACTCAGCCTGGTGTATTGTTCATATGCCTATGTCTAGCACTTTAGCCGACAGTGATTCAGTAGCTCGGCAGAGCATGTCCTATGAGACCGGTTCTGACGATCCCGTTTCTGGAACTACCACAGTTCACGCGAGGATCTCCGTGCCAGTCGAGGACTTGCTGCAGCAACTCACTCGTCCATCTACTTCATCAAGCGAATATGATGATGATGGTAGGAAGACTATCTACTTCCCGAGGGGCTACGATGGTGATCTGACGACCACTGTAAGCACTGCGAGAATGCCGATGAAAGCCCGCGCGAGTAGTCTCGTTCGCATAAAGTACAACACGGTATCTGCCACCTATGAAGTGGAGCTCAATATTGACATCGACGTACCCACTGTCGACGTCAGCTGCCAAATTCTTGATAATGTGAGGCCTCTAGCGAACGCCTCAGGAGTGGGTCACCGACGTACGAGTCATGAGAATTTCTCAGATGTAAGATCGATCTCATAGGGTCATCTAATCACGTCGGCTCAGGTTCCCATGTCTAATATAAGGGAGTTGGGCAATAGCACTCCGACAGTGTGGGGAGCATACAAGGCCTCCAACAAGTGGCATAAGAACAAGCATCACGCCCAGTACTTCCTCCTGTCGGGCCGCGGGAAGCAGCTAGCCCTTGAACCATCTAACATCGATGCCGCATTTAGCAGCGGAAGTCTCAATGCCAATGCCCCAGAGTTTAAGCCGGAGTAAGGAGACGGTCGCGCTACTAGGCTTGGCTTCACCGTGTGGTATGCAGTATACGCCATTTCTCGCCACCTGGACTGAGGTGCCACGAAGATGTTCGTTATGGAGAGCCTTCCCAGTTGGAGGAAGTGAACCTTCTGATGTGAGTGATATATGGTAATGGTTGCTTTTAGGCAGCGAATTGCAGTGTCGACAGTGTGAAGGGCTACAGGGTAAGCCCACTGCGGCTTCCCCTGGACACCACAATGGCTGTTGGCGAGGACCGATTCGATAGCTGGAGAACTTCCACTACTTCCTTCGCTGCGTAGGCGTCCTGATCTGTGCTGATTTGATAGTACTGTGTCAGAGTCCGGAAGCACTCGAGCAGCTCCACCAGTGGAGGCTTCGAACCAAGCTATACATCGTCTCCAGTCACCTCGAGCAGTTGTCGTTCTTATATAGAGTAATTTTATACTTTTCCCACTACCAGTACGATGGCTTCTTTTGTCAACTTTGTTCACGGCTCTGAAACTAGCTGGTCTCAGGAAGAACGCTAAGCCAGTGAGTCTGCCAGGTTCACAGGTCGACTCTGAAGTGTTACAGTGTTTCCTTGTGAGAAGGCTTGTGAGCATCCAGCCAGTAGCAGTGAACATTTTTTGTGTCATTTTCCCCACTTCTTGTATAGAGCTGCTATTACTGCTATCACTCTACCAGTGTAACATTGAACAGTATCAATTCTCCATTATTATATGATCGACGACGTCCAATGCAGTCATCGACGCACAGGTCCGAGTCTAGTCCACTCGGCCAAGTTGTTGTTAGTAGATAGTGTACTGAGGTACTGACTACCACAGCTACCCTCAGCTACCCTCAGCTACATCATCACTAGATGTCTCTCACAAGACTATGGAGGCTCCCTCTGTGTTGCTGCTGGGGCTTTAAGCAGCCTTATTGAGGTGTTTATCGTTACAGTGAGAAGGAGCTCATCTTGCATCGTTCAATCTTACCAAATTTCTCTATGGTGCTGCATCAGGTGGCGCGACTTTTATCGTCTCAATGGTCAGAAGTGCGTTGTGTTGAGCTCTTTTAATATCAGATGTTATCGTTATGTAGAGTACGCGCTGCTTTCAGCCTGTCCAACTATCTTGTCCCGAGGTTCGCCATTATGTCCACGGCTGCGGTCACGGTTGGTCATCATCAGCCTTTCTGGGTAGACCCTCCCTCCAAACGAGGCACTTTCCATGAGAGATCTACAACCTCGGCACTTGGCACTGTGATGGTGCCAGTGGGAGACCTCCTAAAACGCATCACGGGTGCTCATTATGGCCAGCGTGGGCCGGTGCCTTGCTCTGCCAATGTGAGACCTAGCAGTGGCAGGACTGTTGCATCATGCAGGATGTCCGTGCACGCACGCGCAAGCGAATTGGTTAAGATTATGTATGATTCTAAGGATGGGGCGTATTATCTGCAACTGGATGTCGAAGTTGATATGCCGACGGCCATATTGGGAGAGGAGATACTGGCTCATGTGAAGCCCACGTCCTCTTCGCCGACTCGGGATAATTTCGAGGAAGTAGTGGTATGGGAGTCCTACTGATGATGATTCTGTGGTGTAGGTACCGATATCACAGATTCGAGAGTTGGGCCATAGTGGGACCGCGGCTTGGCAATCATATAGGACGTGGAACAAATGGCAGAAGACTAAGCACCGTGCAGTGTACTTCGTACGGGCTGAGAAGACGGCGCTGGGGCTTCCCCTGCCGAGCTCAGTCGAGGGGCCCAATGGTGACAGTATGTTCATGAACGGGCTCAATGCCAACGCTCCTGAGTTCACGCCAAGTTCAAGGTCAGGAACTCGTGTGAAGGGAAGGGCGTATGGTGACGTTGGTTCAGTGCGCCGAGTCCCCCATCAGATAGTGGAGGTGCTGATAGGAGGCCATCTATTGATGATCAACATACTGTTGGAATAGGCAGGTGCTTGTTGCCAAGCGAGGTGAGTTCAGAGAGGAGTGGTATGTCCTATGTAATTGGTAGGTGGCGGCGCTTCTGGGCGATGATTGCCTTCACCATGAGGAGGCGTTCGATTCTGATCTGTCCTGCAGCCCAATCGGTCATCCTCTGCACCAGCACGTAGACTACCATGACGGCTGGAGAACGAGAATGTAAACTATCACCGACTGCTATAGACTATGTTATGTTATAGGCCCTTCAAGGGGGATTCATGGGTCCCCTTGGGCATGGACGGAGGTCGCTCCCGCCTCACGAGTGCTGCTGAGAGCAGTACTACCAGCAGTAGCCTGGCTACTGCGAATGAGTCTCCGTCACGCGCCACAGAAATGTGGTAGCTGCCCAGTATTATAGCGTCCACCAGTGTCGAGTGTTACGCTATCATGAACCTATGAAATCCCGTTATGCGTATATCTATTGTCACCTCCTATAGGTGTGTTATCATTAAACTATTATCATCAACGTCATCGCCGACGAAGGAGTAGTTTGGTCGCTGAGTAACCAGGTCTTAATATTCTTTTTAATATCATCATTATTATCAGGGTAGTGGCGGTGGTCTCCTATGGTTGGCAGCGTTTCTGTGATATCACGTACAGGTCCAGGCACAGGCTTGGACCATCCACCGCCTTTTCCCCTTTTTTGTCCTCCTTACGTGTGACGCTAGTTGCTAACTCAACCGGCAACGGTGTCTTAGTCGTAGTCGTGGTTCGGTGGAGCATTCCAGTGAACATCTCTTTTAAACCTGCTAGCGGGAGCTTCAGGACAATATAGTGCTCACTTCGTAGGGTAGAAGTAGTCCATAGTAGCATTCGAGTCAGTAATACATGGACCTGGTCGTAGTAGTATTAGCATCGTTTTGTGTGATGCGATGAGTGGGACTTCAAGCAGGTGAGAGACCAGGGGCGTATCTTCGAATCTTCGCTGTGCGCAGAGATATATGTTTTGGTTCTCAGATATATGGTATCAATGACATACCAGAATAACATCAAAGCGAAGTCGGGTTTCTGCACTTGAACTAGTGTTTTGTGAATAATATCGTAATCGATTAGTTGGGCGCGCGCGGTCGGTTGCAGTATTGTTGGTATTTGGACACTTTGAGTCTGATGCTTCGGGTAGCTGCTCGCGCTGCAATTCGTCTCGGTGGAGCTCACGGTCGTGAGCTCCCCGAGTACGTGGTCCTTCCTCATAATCAGCAGAGGTGAGGATAGTAGTAGTAGTAGTAGTAGTAGTAGTAGTGGTAGTAGTAGTAGTAGTAGTAGTAGTAGTAGTAGTAGTAGTAGTGGTAGTAGTAGTAGTAGTAGTAGTAGTAGTAGTAGTAGTAGTAGTAGTAGTAGTAGTAGTAGGGAATGTTGATGGATGGTTGTGGGCAGGTATGGCCGCGATAAAAGTTATGACTATTTTACTTGTCTGTGGCACTTCCCCAAGATGGTATTCACTGAGAAGTGGTGCTATACGAATATTATGTGGTTCGTGTGTAGGTTGTGACCGTCAGCAAAGTGGTCTGATTTGTCCTTCTGTTTTAGTCTGGACCGGTTTTTGGTTTATTCCCAATTACATTTGGTGGGAAAGGCGGTATGCTTATCAGAAGGCAGGCTTCCATTGGGAGCACACGAACAGGTGAGTTCACTAGTCTCAGCTTTCGTGAGACTATGTATGTGTAGGAAGCTGCAAGCACGCAAAGAGGCGTTGGGTATGGAGAAGGTGCCGGCAAGCGGGATGGACTGGCCTAGTGGGTAGAAGCAGGCCTATTATGTCACCACTGAACGTCAAGTTCAGCAGCAGCACAGGCTGGGGATAGGCATTAAATGCACGTCCTTGCCAAGAAAGAGTATCCACATGATAGTATCATCAATTTTTGGTTATAAACTACAGAGTGTCGAGTTAGGAGGTATCCCGTGCGCGGCTGAGGAGGAGTAGCGACGAAGAGATCAGTGTTGAAGGAGTATATGTTTTCTTAGCTCAGCTGAGTTTAGGAGTTTCCTTACTAATTATAGGAGTTTACATGCAGATTCGAGTGGAAGGGTACAGAAAACGAAGAAAATTTCCCGAAATTTCCTAAGAATTTTCATATTGTCACCAACACATGTCACCTGACCATGTGCATATTTTCCTACACTGTTAGTGGCGGTTGTTCAGTTATATTAGTTCTCACTTGGAATGGCAGAGGAGAAGATGTTGGCCGTTGGTGATGGACCACTACATCTGTCGGAGCATCTCTACCAGGTAGTGGTGGTCACTGGTCGTTCCCTAGAGTGACCGTTGGTATTCAGTCTATCCCTAACTATCAGCTGATCGATGCGCTGCCTTTTATTGATCCATTTGGGCAGGAGGACTTTGCAAGGGTGGAGGAGATGATTCAGAAAGAGATTGCCACTTTCCAGCCGGCACGGTAGGCTGTCCTCTTCTTCGGAAGGCATGGTTGAACTCAAACCCTTGAAATTGGGAAAGTCTGTCTTATTTCAATCAATAGTGGCTGACTAGCACCGTTTCATGGCGTGCGCTATATACATAGGCATACTCGGCACAAGG